TACAAATTACATCGATTATTACATCATTCATGTGTGCTTTATGTATTACATGCAATAGTACATACTATTGTATATATATTATATTTTAGTACGTATTGATATTTATTAATTAATATTTATTACCTGTGTTCTAATATGACTTTTGTGGACTATCCACCTGGAATAAACTAATTGAACGATAGTACTTATGTATCCAATAAATTACTGTGACTATATCAATGTATATCCTTGCAAAGTTTTCATTATTTGCTGTTAGAAACATTCGCTAGAAAAAGTTTTTTTAATTTTTTGTTTTATTTCTAGCAACGTTTACTTGATTGCGATTAAAAATTATCTTTCCACACAAACTGACTATTTTTTTTCACAAAAGGAAGGTCATTTTCAATGATACCAAGAAATATCTTTACGCAATCTCATTAAAAATAATAACAACGTTATATCTCCTATTATCGTTCGTTCCAATCACATAACAAAAATAAATATTATACAAGAAACTTTTCGTTCAGGATGTTTGCGTGTATTTGTTTTGCTCACTGATTCCATTGAGACTATCTTCGAGCACCTCGAACTCTTCGAATTCCATTTTCCCGAAATCATTACCGACTTTCCAGCTCGAATTCACTTCCCACCTCGTCAACGCGCTTGGCATAAATCTATTCGGATAATTGGATCTCGAGTCGTCCAGATCGCCCAGCTTAAAGTCAGCTTTGAAGATCTTCCTCGATTCCTTGGAATCTTCTTTTTTTGGCTCCAGACCAATCACCACCGGAGGTTCCCTCTTCATCTGTTTAACATCCTCGTCCTTTTGTGTCTCATCCTTTTGCCTATCGATCGATGTGATCTCGATACTGGGTGTTTCCGCGATGGTACATTGCCTGAGATCGGCACATCTACCCCGATTGCGACGTAACGATTGTCCCTCGACGAATCTGCCAGTTAACTCCAGCCTACTATCACAAGAGTTGCTCTTCACTAATTTGAACTTTACGTAATCGTTCGATTTGTCGATTCGCTTAAAGCCATTGCCGATCAACGGCGAGACTAATGGCCCATTGTGCATATTAACCACTTTTCCGCCATAGTAAGTTACAGAAGTGCCGCATTCGCGGATCTTTCGCAATACGTCTTGAGACACGTAATGCCCCGGACTGGTCGCATCTGCATCGTCATCGTTGCAATTCACATCCTCGTCATCGGACGATGTACAATGGGCACCACTCCCGGGATCAGTGTCAGGATAATCGCTGGACACGCCGGAACTCACGCTGCCGGAATCCCAGTTTTGATGATGATGATGATGATGATAACGACCGACTTTGTTCTTAGAACAATTAGAGCCACTTGGTGACGTGTTTCCGCTTCTAGCTTCGAAACTTTGCGCGAGAATTTTCGTTTTCGATTCGCATCGTGGACTTCCGATTTCCTCCTTGGCTATGGAAATGGTCGATGACACGGACTTGGTCTCGAAGAGTCTTGTGAGATCTTTCGCTCTGCTGGAACATCTGGATCTGAACATAATATATTGATTATGGCAGCTGTTCACGAACGATCGAAGAATGAATGGATAATTTTAAAGCTTTGGCTTATATATTAGTCGAAACATAAATTTTAATACAAACGACTTACTTTTTTGTTTAAAACTCTCGCCTGTAATGAAATTTCGATTTAGGAAACGCTATTATCTTAATCGCGAATAAGAACTATTTAACACACAGACGTTCCAACGTAAACTTCATCACCATTTGCCATCTCATTAAACATAACGTTATCTCGGGTTGATTTATCTAACGTACCATCACCTCGTTTAATTCATCCGCTTCAACTAACGTACTTAAACAGTTGGTCTATAAGATATATTTGTAGTCAAAACACTCGCATCCGCATTATCAATAATAAAAGTTTTGTTGTCGACAACATTCAATATTACGCTACCTGGATTCTTCGCGTGTCTTGTCGGATATTTCGTCGTATCGATTGTCGTCGATGCTAGTCAAATCCTTCATGCTGACGCTCCTTCTAGTCTTGTCATCTCTGGAGAACTCAGCATCGCTTATTTTCTTTTTCTCGAGAGTGTTCTCGAACATACGTCTCACGTTTCTGACAGTATCCGGATCCGGTAGCTCTTCGTCAATCAGCTCACGATTCACTCGTATAGGTTGATAGAAGAAGTGCTTTTTAATGGATGATTGCCTAGAGCTTTTAGCAGTGCCGCCACTCTCAGATTGTTCGCCGTTTCTTTCGTGGTTCTCTGTCTTCTTCTGGATCGCACCAGCGATCTTACACTTGGGTTCTGTTCTGGTCAACGATGATGACTTTCGCTCTATCGTCTCGGCGCGAACCGGCTCAATAATGACAACGTTGTTATCCATCAACAATTCTTGGAACGAATATTCGCGTAAATATTGCATCAATCCCTCGTACGTAACGTCGCCTCGAGCGGTATTGAATACGTTCTTGCTGAACATATGCGACTTTACGATCTTGTAGCGCACGTGATCGAACTCCTGACCGTCATCCTGGCACTCTATAGAATCCACGCAACTTCTGGACCTGGTGAGATTGGTGTGCGATTTTTTACTGTCGTCTGTTCTTAGTGTGGCGGAATTATTGGAATTTTCTATTTTTCTTGACGGCCGATCGTCCTCGATACCATCGTCCACCGATCTTCGACGAGAATCGCTACCGGATTCGGAACCGAGACCGAGATCGGAGCTTTCTGACCTCGCTTCGAAACCCAAGCTGCCCTTTACGACGCTGCATGCCTTGCCGAGAATGTTGGATGTCTCCTTCACAATTCTCTCAAATCTGCCTTCGTTTTGCTTATTTCGTGTTGCCTCCTTCTCGGTACTTTTCCGCTCCAAGAAGTTTCTCGCGTCGTCTACCGTTGCTCCATTTTCCGCATTTTCTGGCGTCGTAGCTTCCTGCAAAATTAATTTGTCAATTGATATAATGCGTTTCTGCCCCATTTCCGACGTTGAGATGTCAGTTTTTATTAATGGACAGTTTGAGGGAGAAAATTAGGCGGTGAAATATTAAAGTGAACCGTTTTAGAAATTGACGACATTATAAATTACTTAACGTAAACGAGTTTTTAATTGAATAAAAATTATTATGAAAATGTAGATGCTAAAGTTATAAATCGCAAGGTTGCAGAAATTAATTAATATTCCAGCGTGCGAGGAATTCCGAATCTCTGCTTTATACTTCTCTAAAGAAGACATCGTTTTTTATATATTGTAGAAAATATTATAATTGTATTTTTGATATTTCTTCGAACGTTACATTTTTACATTCTCAAGAATGAAAGTCTTTGAAAATTTTTTATGTTACGAACATTAATATTGAGTTGGAACTAAACTTCTATGGTAACTTCTAGAACAAAAGTTCGAAGATATAGATAAATAAGAATGATACTTTATTTTTGTATCATGTTTACATATTTTTTAAAAATATTTAAAAAAAAATTTGGCAGTTACACTATTCGATAAAGCAAAGTTTCAGCTTTAAGACTATGTCTTTTGAATTGCGGTTTTTAATACAGTTAATGAACAATTAAAATTAAAATGCTCTTTTTATTTAATCCGTGATAATTCGATAACACAAAAAAATCTTACGAACAATAAAAACCGATTTTGTAGGGAAAACTTTAAACTTTCATGTTAGAAAATAAAAATTTTTGCAAGTTTTTTTGGTGCGTGACAGGTCCACAAGTTGAAAAGAAAATTTCCCTTTTTGCCCAGCTCGTAGTTTTCAACATGTATAAGTTATCAAATAGAAACTCAAATGACGTAGTGATTTCTAGAAAGTAGAGAGATTTATGCTTTAAAATCCTATTTTTAAATTTAAATTTCATTTATTTTTAACAAAGTTACATCTGTTTGAAATTCTTAGCATTACGAACTTCTGTTCCAATCCAATAGAATCACTTATTGAGATAAAGAAATATAATTAAACATTTCTTTCTTTAGTAGAAATATTCCATCGTATCTCATACTAACTTTCGCTTTCCTTCCATGGCCTTCGTCCTTCACATTATTAATCGATGTAATTATAGAGGCATTAAGACGCTCGTTTACTTCCTCCGTAATCTCCTGCGATCTCTTATCTTGTGGCACGTCCTCGACGATAGCATCAATCTCCACGACAGAGCGCCGATGACGTCTCCTGGTGACATCATTGTCGACGACTTTAAGAACTTGCGGTCTTCGTGACATTTTGTTTTGATTTTCGTCTGGAATCCAGATCGATTTATAGTCCTCTATCTCCTCGATCTTTTGGTCCTCTTCCTCGCAGGAAATCACAAAATTTTCAACATCGGTTCCCGTATGATCGGTCTTAGATGAGGAGGGGGAGTACTGATTCACTGAGTTAATCTCTGAATCTGCTCCGAAACTTTCGTCAGTTTCTCGATGCTGTCGCCGATTTGAATCCGTCCTCTTAGAGGACGTTCTCTCGGAATCAAGATTCTCACGCAGCTCTTTCTCAGATTCGTCGTCACCTCGAGCGAGATTATCCTCGTTCACCTCATGCTCTTTACACTTCTCCTCGTCTGTGGCGTTGCTGCTCCTCGTCGGCGAAACCTCATTCGGTTCGTTATACTCTAGTACTCTTAAATCTGGCAAACCGTGTATTTTTTTATGTGTGAAATTACTGTCGCTCGACAAGTCAGTCTCGTTATATTCCAACCGTATGTTAGAGAGAGGTAACAAATTCAATACGTCGAAGTATTCCAATTCTCCATCGTCTTCAAAGAGGATGCTGTCTAAACTCCGATGCTCCTTACGCTTGCGCTTCACCTAAATAGGAAAGCACATCTATAAGCACATTGCTTTTCATACATTCTTCTCTATAGAAAGTTTTGTCATCCAATAAATTTTCAGGGAACCTAGTTTTCTTATAAGAAGAATTTTTTATTAGAAAATGTTTTTGTAATATAAACGTAGTGAAATTTGAAAGAGTCGACTCTTAATTCAATCACCATCCCCGAGGTTGTAATTTTTGTTATTTAACAAAGTTTAGTTCACAAGTAATATAATTCGATCTTTATTTTAGTTTTATGGATCTCACAGAAAGACATTGTTTTATCAGAAATTAAATTTGTTTTTCTGAAAATCAGTTTTTCTGATACCCAGTTAAAATTTAATTAAGCAGCCGTTAAAGATAATGACAACATAGGAAACTGGACCACTATATAATGATCTCTATCATTTTAATTAATGTTGGTAACAAACTTCTTAATCCTATTAATATATTGAGAAGTCCCAGCACGGCTAATCTCAAAGGCGATACATTATACCAAGTAAACTTTAATCAAATTAATAATTGGAAATTTCATCAGCTTCTAATGTACAGGATGTCTCAAATTTAAATGTAAAAAACGAGCATATTTCTAAAGGACTTTTTCTTAGATGATCGATCCGCTCACGAATATACACATTCCCGAAGTTTTGGCATTTAAATTCGAATATATGTATTATAATATACACTCTGTATATTCTGTATAGATATGTATTCTGATACATTCCAATACATTATAATATACTCCATTATTACCATATCGTAAATTAAATTATCCATATATACAACTTATTACAAACAATATAATTAAACCAATATAATTAAACACACCAGGATATGTTATTTTTGAAATGAACTCAACGACTACAAAGCTAATTTTGATTGACTGAACAATTTATTAATTTTCTCGAACAAAAGATTCGATTCTCGCTCGAATAAGAGATGTTTTTCTTTCGCATGAAATAAATTAGCAGTTTTATAATTTTTTATCGACAATAGACATATTTCACCTGCGTATATATGCAATCGATACTTCGATTGCCTTCAATAGGCCAATTATCTTCGACGATGTCAACCAATCCGCTTACAGTATCCAAATTTTGCACGCTGCGGTACCGCCTTGGAGGATCCGGCCAGTCAAGAATGTTCAGTCGATCAGGATCGATACGATTTTTGCGAGTATAAGACAACGGATCTGGAAGAGACTCGAGACCCGATGAAATCGAGTAAAGGCCACACGTCGATCGCGAATGATAAGATTTTGTCTCGTTGAATTTCTCGTAAGAGTCCGACAGATGCTGCTGACTCTTAGAGAGTCTGAAACAAAGTGGAAAACCTCTTGACCGATTGCTCTTGAATAAAATTTGCATTTGTATATAACTTGAAAGTGCTTGTAAAATGTAAGTAATATAAATTATGACTGAAAAGAGCATCTATATAAGTTATTATGACTTCAATAACTTATCTGAGCTTATCGGATCTGTATGCTGGTAATATTAGCTGATAAAATTAAATGGAAGAATATTGAACAGATTTTTTAATTTCATTTTAATTTTATTAAATTGAAAAAATAACTTTATTAAATCCACTTGCTCGTTATCATAGTAATTGATTTCGAACTTACGTTAACTTACTTAAAAGAACTCTTAATATATAGAATCGCAAAATTATTTTAAATATTTCTACCTCAATTAATTATTGCCCTATAAAATCTCAATCACTTTGATATTATACAGCAAAATATGTTTAAAATACAATAAATTTTTTTATTCGCCAACGATGGTATGCATCAAATTAGATTGCCTCCATTGGACCATAAATAGGTGACAAAAACAAAAAGTTATTTTCCCGTTGTTCAACTGTTCGATTTGATTCCGCAACGAGGAGATATCAAGTTGGAATCATATTTTAGTAAAGTTTCTTTGTGAAGTTCTTATGTACTTTGAAAGGAACTTCAAGTCCTTCTATTTTGTTGAAGAACACTGATCGATCGAGTTTCAACTGTGTCTGTGATGTTTGCAATAATTTACCAATCATTGCAAGCGAATAATGCAAGTTCAGAACGAAGAGATCAAATTTGTTGCACGTGAAGAGATTCAACTACCATAATTGGCTTTGTTGGAGCTTAACTGTTTATTGTTCTTCTGTTGAGATATTGAGATTATTATGAAATATGAGATTGTTAAAAAATGTGCCAGAATTTTTATTCATTAGAATGATCCGTTGTCTCAAATATATGTCTTTGGAAGGAACAATTTTCAAATTAATTGGTTAATGTACTGAGTTGGAACAAAATTTCGTAGCAATATAAACTTCAAAATTCAAATAGATGTAACTTTGTTAAAAATATAAATTTAAAAAAAGAGAAGTTTAAAATCTCCCTGAAAAGTAATTAAATATTTTTTGAATTTCTGTGAGTTTGGTAACTTTTACATATAGAAAACTACAAGCTGGACAAAATGAAAAATTTTCTTTTCACTCTGCAGACCTGTCACATGTCCAAAAAACTTGCGAAAATTTTCTAATGTGAAAGCAAAGTTTTCTCTAAAAATCGTTATTTCTTCAAAATGTTTCCAAGATTTTTTGTTATTGAATTATCCGAATTAAATAAAAGTAGCATTTTAACTTCGATTGTTCTGTTAAAAATCATCGTACCACAATTCAAAAAACAGTCTTAAAACTGAAATTTTGCTTTATCGAATAATAATTACCAATTTTTTAAGAACATATAGAAACGAAGTAATGTTACGAACTTTTGTTCCAACGCAATCTAATATTAATCTTGTTAAAAATAGCTGTTAAAAAAAAATTAAATCTTTTCTGACTGCTATTATCTTCATTTTTCACATAGTAGTCTATTAATTAAATTAATTAAAGAATAGGTCAAAAGCGCGGTTTGTGGGTTGTGACCGAGTGCGGTCTTTCTCTTGATAAAAAAGCTAACCTGTCCTTGAGAGAATTCCGATCGATTAGCTTAGCCCTCGGGATCAATTGATGTCTCCTGGGCAAATCGAAGGTCGACTGGCCTAGCCGAAAATGCGCCGCTTCTCGATCCTGTCGAGAATCGTCTTCCGATATCACTGCAAGACTCCTCGTACGTTTCAGCAGCTTCCTGCGATCCTGTGTCGACTGTGCCGAGTGAGAGTCGTAGCGGCTGCCCTCTCTGCAATTAAAATCGCGCAATTGCGTGGTAACAGTTTTTAAATCATAGGAAACGCAATATAATAAAATCATACACTACGACAGGTTTCTACCGGGTACAATACGTAATTGACGTATTTTGCATTGTACAGGCTGTATCAGAGAGTACTTTCTCCCTGTTACTGATCCTCGGGGAAATTTAAAGTTACTTTTACCACAATAAAAATATCAAGTTTAGAAGCTTAATTAAAAAGTTGCATAACTTAATGCGAAAGTTTTGAAAATCAAGAGGACTTGCAAACAAATTAATCTTGAACTTTCACTGCGAATATATACCGCTCCTACATTCTTTAGTTAACTTTGCATTTAATTAAATGCTCGTACTGTTTAATGGAATTTTTATTCGAAGCTTAATTAAGATAGATTTCATATTGAAAATTAATTAAAACACTATAATTGCTCTAAATTGTGAGTTCTTATTCAGGGGAAATCTACTGAATGTATCCAAGACCTATTAATTAGCTTGTATGCTTTTAAGTATAACCCGTATTATTATTACTAAAATATTCAATATAAATACGCAGATCCTTACGATATTTTTTGCATGATGAATAATCTTTACGAAGCAGTAATGCAATCGCTATGTATTTAACAACTAATAAACTTGAGAGCATCGTTCTTTGTTGATACAACAGACGACAAAGTGGCATAACTTTCCCATTAATTACCATATGCGGCTTAGGTGACCCACAATATTCATTAACTTGTAGATGTATCGATACATATATTCATCTCTTTTATGAATTATTGAATGAATTATAACAACAACAACGCATATCGTGGAAAATTATCTGCATGCGAATCAGTGAGTTGGACGAAAAAATTTCTGTTTTCTGTGCGTCGAGAGAAAAAAAGGATAATAATATAATGGCGAGTCTTTTTATGTTTATACGAGAACGTTTTCGAGTTCCTCTAAAAACAACGGATTTCCTTGTTTTATAGGAAAGAATGTTATAATTCATTATTTCAACAATCTTTTAAGATGAGATTTAGCACTTAGTATTTTTGTCCCATTTAAAAGATTATTGCTTTTTTATTGCATAGTATAACAAACTGTATCTCCCGTTATCATTTTCTTAATGATTGTCGTGATTTATCGTATCCGACTGTGCATATGGACGCATTCATAATAAATGGTAATTAAACACCTTATTATACTACGATATAATAACTATGTTAGGCGTATTTTCTATTTCATGTTTTTATTTAACAAGTAAGTTATTTATATCGGATATTAAAAATAATATTACATGCGCACACGACGCGCGAATTTCCATAATAAGCGCTGTAATGAAGCTTAGTATTAGATAATATGAAATTAGTATCTAATATGTAGTTGATCAAAATGCACGTTCGAGTAAATAAATCAATTTTTTATTTCCACGTTTTTTCCTCTAATACTCTTATTCAGTTTGCTTTAAAGATGTTAAAAGAAGAAAACATAATATCTTTTAATTTTTTTTTTAATTCTTTGTTGTAAGTGTTACATTATAAAATAAAAATCTAAAAGTTTCGTGTCCTTCTAGTAACGCTAATGCTTTTATTATTCGAATTGTGATATTAAATCGCTCGCCTTGCTCCTATTTACACACTTTCTGTAGTAAATTCATGAATTTTTCGCCGATGAATTTTATTTACATGCGAAGGTAAAACGAAAACTATGCTTATGTCAGGTTCACTATGTTTACGTTATATTTCTTGTTTCCTATCTTACACGGTGCTTTTAATCCCAGATCTGGAGATAAGTTCTTATTATTTCTTTTTGAAAATAATAACATAAAATTTTTTAACTATGCATGGAAAAATAGCTTGTATAAGTTTGTGAATTAAAATATTGTGACGATTTAATTAAAATATGTGTGAATTAAATTGTTTGAATACGCTAATATACATACGAAATTTAAAGTTTAAAAAATCTGCTTAAAAAAGTATATATAAGAGTTTTAGTCATTAATGTTTTAATATTTTCCTTTATTAAAAAGACAACGACGTTACATAAAGCTTATTTGATACGAAAATAAAGTTGTTATGGCTAATTTGCTTACTTAATACTCGAGTATGCTCTAAATATTGTATTACTTGCGTAATCAATCTCTTTAACCAATAGCGAAAAATTTATGCGCCATTTCATTACTGCTTGTGGAAATAACAAACATCAGAAGTTATTGACAACAAACAAGAAGCTTTTTGACAATTAATTCCGTACGACAGCCAGTCCTAGTCTCCCCTATAATTATCTCTTTACGTATCTCTGTATATACGCTAACAAGATATTTAATTGATGCTAAAAAAGAAACATGCTGGCAAAATGCAGAAGTAGAAGAATGCATGTGAAAATCCCTTTTGAAGAATCTCTTATAACATACGATACAGAATGAAATTGAGATATAAATCCGCCATTGCGTATATCTTTTTAGATTTCCAAAAATCTTTTATGAACATCGTGATATGACATGGCATGTCTACGTACAATCGTATGCGATTTTTTCCACCTGAATATCCGTACTGAAAACGGACGTGTCCTTTCGGCCGACTGCCCGTCTTAACGAACGTGAATCCTTGAAGTCCGAAAGCAAACGGCGTATCGTCGTCTCATTGTATTCGTTTGAGCACGGAGCTTAGTTACGTAAGATTATCACGAGTTATCTCGGGTAACTTTGCACGCTGTTTTCAATGTACGTACGTGCAGAAAGATCGGCCTCGGATGGTGACTTACTTTTTTTTTTCGTTTTTTTCCTTTATATAAGTTTTACATGTCATCGTGTTAAAGTTCGACTTTTTTTATACTAATAATCTTATGGAAATAAGATTCGTGGAATCGATTTAATAGAACAAAGAAAAAATCTGTTAACTACAGCATTTTTTATTATCACGTTAATTGTAGGATATTATTTAAAACTTCTTACAAGTTTTTTTTTTTATAATGCATTTTATATACTAGTATGATTGAAATTTCCTTGTGATGTAATCGTTTTCTCTAATAGCTTCACTTCTTTTCATGTCTTCACGAGTGATGATTGGTTATCGATAGGACACGCTCGAATTGTGACCAATCAGTGCTTATCTTGTTACTCTAATTACTCATAAACTCAACGACGCTTGTAAATTTAAAACTGATCTGCATGTGCTCGCGAAGTTTGGAAAGGACTTCAAATTGCCCCGATTTTAAAAGAATTAATATTTAACCGTCGAGGTAATTCTTTTTGTACGAGCACGGAAATGAATATTCAAACTGCGCAATCAAGTTATCGATTAATGTTATTTAAATGTGCATGAATAAAAAGTACATCGATTATGCACGGAAAATATTATGTCGTCAATTTAGAAAAACGATAATCATACTTACATATATCATATTCATCTCTAAATCAATCGGTAAAAAAAAAAACCGATTGAAAGCATGGAATGTAAAACGCTCTCG